AACACACTGCACTGGTGCTATTTTCTCTCCTCATTCCTTGGTATAAAGAACAGACACTGCAGATCATAATAACCCTAGTCTAGTGAAGAAGAATTCCCACCCCACCCACCAAACCATGTGTCATGAAATGCTACTGCTTTGTCTAATGAAATCATCACAAAAAGTGTCATTATCCAACATCTTACTGAAAAGGCCAGAAGTGGTTCACCACTTGCTTTCTTCTAACTGACATCACAAGAAGTAGAGAATAATGCTCCTTCCACTCAAATAGGACTGGTTTCCCCTCACCTGCTCCCCATCCCCAAGACTGACAGATGGACCAAGGAGGAGGATTAAGTATATTTTCTTTGCTTTTTCATGTACAACAGCACAATTCTTGATAACTCCGTTGCTGCCTTAATGAGAAAATGCTGGAAGATGTGTTAATTCAGATAAGAGTGCATGGCCTGTATCCAGCACATAGATTATCACAAAGGGGAATGAGATACACACACATCACACACACACACACTGCAGAGGGAGTCAGTCCCTGAGTGTAGCAGCAGCAGTCAGATGCCGCTGAAAGGCAGCCTGGTGTGTTCACACACCACTGCTCTGCGGCGGCTGCCAAAAGAACAGAGAGCTGGCTCCTGCTGCTGTTCTCACTGCTGCTGCGGTGACCAAAGTCGACTCTGGTATTCCATACAGAAGGGACTGCCACCCTTCCCAGGATACAGATGCTAAGAAATTACTATGGGCTATTTCTATAAACCCCTGTAGAGGTTTTATTGCAAAAGGATGCTGGCTGCAGAGATGTTCACACCAGAAGTGAAAAAGTCAAAATGACACCTCCCACTTCTCCCCATGCACTTTAGATTGAAACTTGGCTTTTTAATAGAGAAATAAAATGAAAGAGTGGAAGGACTTGACTGCAATCTCCTGCCCAAAGTAGTCACTTTCTATAGCTTCATGATAAAAGCGGGGCTCCATGTCTAATGGAGAGATGAATGCAGGCAGTCTAAATGCCATTCTTCCTGCTTCCCACAAATTATCTCTTTCTGATGCTGAGAGCTCTAAGGCAAGATTTGATGGTAGACAGCTATGGTAGGACGAGAAGGCACCACAAGCAATCTTTATAAGCAAGGTCAACAGGGTCAACAGTGTAGAAAGTACTATGACCCACAGGGTTTGCAGCAGCTTTCAAGTGACACAAGTGCCAATTCTATTTATGCTTACCTGAGAGAAAGCCCCATTTTATCCAGAGGGAATTAATTCTGAAGAAATAGACATCGGATTGTGCTATTAATTAGAAAGTCAAATGTAACAGAATAGATCAGCATTTCCCAACCTGGTGCCCTCCAGGTGGTTTGGACTTCAACTTTCATCAGGCACAGCCAGCATAACCAGTGCCTGGAGTTGCAACCCAAAATACCTGGAGCTCACCAGGTTGAAGGAGCTGCCCTGAATTAAGCTCAGTCTTCAAGCTGCTACTGAATTATCTTCAACTGCAAGGGCAATGGCTGAAGTATTTCCTGTATTTCCCTTTATCTGCAAATTCTTCTCAGCCACCAAGAAATCATTATGCCAGAGAGCTGCACAAAGTGCCTGTCCATCTTCCTCCACCCCTTTAACTTCAGGTCAGGTCCCTCCTGCAGCTATCCCACTGCAGTTATGTAACGTTAGCGCTGTGCGTTTCCTGCCACCTTCTGTTCCTCAATCAGCTCATTTGGTGGGATGTCCTGGGATTAGAAGATCATTATCTCAGGCTCAGGAACCAAGGAGTTTATTGTCCACAGAAACCATGCACTGGGATTTGTAGAATGAGAACACCTACTGCATTCCAAACAAGCTTGGAGGAAAACACAGTGGGTGCAGGGTGGAGGGAGAAGAATGAATCCAGCTTAACGAAGGAGATGCTTCAGGTTTGCTAACTGTATCTAGCAGAATAAATAGTCAAAATAGGGGGAGCAGGAGCTCTGCCACTCAAGGTGTTGAAGAGTATAAAGTATCCACAAAAACAAGGCACTGTGCACAAAGCCAGGGCTGACTTAGCAAAAAAGAAGGGGGGCAGGTGAAGCAGGAAATTTGATACTGCCAGATAAGAAAAGCACAAGTATACGGCAGGTATTAAGAAAGGGCCATGAGTAAGGAATCTGTGTACATCTATGCATTACTTTGTAGTAAATCTTTGCATTACTATGTGTGAAGAGCAAACTATCCAAAAGGCATGGTGTGTTCATGCAGAGAATGTTTAAGATTAAAGGTAACTCTGTGAGGAGGAAAATACATGATGAACCCTGAAAATAGCCCAGTGAATACAGTAATTTGGAAAAGGATGTAAGGGAAGCATGAAGCATGTGCATGTGTGGGAGCTTTGCTGGTTTTGTCTTTGGCTTAGGTGCATGGGTATTTGGGAAAGAGCATTGGGGTCAGCTGTACTGAGGTTGACATTGGCATGATTGACTCAAAATCTAGTCCTTTGTTGGCTTAATTGAGCCTTGGATCTCCCTGCCCATTGGTCTTTCCACCAACATCCTTCACAGACAATTTTGCTGTATCCAAGGAGTCAGGATGAGTGCAGGCTTTCTCAGCATTCCACTTTTTCTTCACTAGCCCTATCTGCATATCACTATCCCTATGAATATTGCTCCAATATATCCTGTCTTGGTTTTGGATTTTCCGGGTCAGTAACAAATACAGCCATAAACCAAAGGTTTCATTTTGCATAGACAAAATGAACTTCCTTGCAAGTCACAGAGATCTGCGAAGCCTGATTTATTTAAAAACAACAACACAGAATTGTGTTGCCTTCCCCCACCCCCAGTCTTCCCAGGTTTGGCAGAGAAGTTGCAGCCACCTCATCAATGTACTTGCTCATAAGGGCTTGTTCCACAAAACTTTCTTTGTTTACCCTGTAATTAGGGCTGGCCCTTCCATCAGGCAGCAGCAGATGCTAAGGGGTGGGGAGCAAGCACAGCTGTGTGCACCACACAGCCTGCCCTGCACCAGCCAGCCACCCTCAGGTGTATTAGCCCAGCCTTCCCCAGCCTGGTGTCCTTCAGCTGTTTGGGACTGCAGCCCGCAATAACTCTGACCACGGGCCTCACTCACTGGGGTTGCTGCGAGTTGGCGTGCAAAACATCTGGAGAGCACCATGGCGAGAGAGGGCTGTGTTAAACGATACTGTTCCACTATTCGTACTCTTCGCCTCCGGCAGAAAAATGCCTTCGGTCAGCACTGCTTCAGCCGGGCACACGTCCCTAAACTATGAGCCGCGGAGCTGAGTCTAACCAAACATTCGCCTAAAAGTTCTATCTGAATCTGAGGGGAAGGCGCCTAGGACCGCAGTCTTAATCAGGTGTAACACTGCAGCGAACTGAGCTGGTGGGCTCTCCCCCCGCCTGCGCGCGCCATGCATACACACGCGCCTCACCGCGCATCTTGATTGGCTGAGCTATCGCTGAGTAGAACGCCTCGCTTTCCGCGCGAGTCCGTTTTCGGAGCTGCCTCAACCTGCTCCTCCTATTGTTTTGATCCTTTCCCTCAGGAGTAGGCTCGCGCCTCTCCTCTCTACCCCCTCTCCGCGGCTCCTGCATCTGGGTCGCACGTTACTTAGGCGTTTGGGGCGCCCCATTTCCCCACCTCTCTCTCTCTCACCCTCCCCGCCCCCCCCCCGGTTCTATTAGTATCCACCAAGCGGTTAACACAGCACGTCTGGAGTGTGTCATGGGAGAAAGAGCTCTGGCGCTCCCTCAGTCCCCTCGCATGCAGGGAAATAGCTGGCGTGAGCGTGCGCGCTCGCCCTCCCCCGCGCGCGCGCGCGCGCGCGCTCTCACAAACATTTTATACATATACAGAAAATACCATTCTCTGTGCCTTAAAATACTCTGCCGGCGCATCAGCCGCGTGCTCCGAGCAAAAGGAGCAAATCGATCACCCCGAGCCCCAAACACAGCGAGGAAGTAACCTCCCTAAGCAGTCTGCTTTTTGTTGTGGTGGCAGTTGTCGCTGTTCGGTGTAATCATAATGGGTTGAATGACCTTGCGGAAAACAATCTTTCATTGGATCCCTTTACAGTGGGAAACAAACGACCTTTTTTATGCTTCTAAAAAATTGTGCTTTGAAATGTCAAAGACTTCATCTCTCACCAGTTTAAAAAGAGAAGGGTGCGGGAGAGAAAGGTAGTCAAACGCAAATTTATTAGCCTCGAGATCAATACTCGGTTCTGATGTTCTCATTCAGCGTGGCGTGGTTTTGGTATTGTTGCTGTTTTAAAAGCCAGATCATTACAGTATACAGCTTCTCATCTTGAAACAGCTTTAGGGTAATTCTCTTAGTTCGGCAAAATAATCATCATCATAGCGGGAGCATACAAAAAGATAACAACAAATGTATCGCTCAACTTTAAGATGATTCTCAATACTCTAAAGTGAGATGGGAGCTGGTGGGGGGGGGGGTAGATAACCTAAGCATATTTGCTTTAAGCTTCTAAGTACCAACATATGGCACACAAGTCCGCTATCTAGCTACATCTCAATCACGCCCCTCTCTCCCAAAAGCTTCTGGCCGTGTTGGAGGGAGGGTAATCTCTGAAAACAGCGTAGAACTAGTCTGATATTCAATAGGCACCGTCTTCGTTTCACATTTGATGGTATCAAAAAGAGTCTAAACAGCAACTTTAACAGATCTGTAATATCTAGTGATTTGCGTTCGTATGAGAAAAGTCTTCTATTTATAGGTTCACACACATACACACTCGGCAATTATCCTTTATAGCTTTCTTCCTCTCCCCTTTCTGTATATTTTCCCCCCTAAATGAATAAATCATCTTCCTCCTGGTCACCACTTCCAAGATGTTTTCCTTTTCTACCTAGGTTCCTCCTAGCAAATAACAAGATGATGTGCATCGCCCGACAGAGCTTTATATTGATTTCGCCACTGCCTCGGTGCTTAAGTTGTGCAAAGGAAAACCCCGTTATTTCTGATTGGATTTACTATCCAAGAGTACAGGGATCACTTACAATTTCTGGTGAACGCTGTCCCTTAAAGCAAAGGCTGAAACTCAACGGTGCGGTAGTTGTTCTTCTTGTTGTTGCTTTAAACTGGTAACAACTGAGGTTTGCTAAAGAATCAGGAATGAATTGGTCCCTGCTTGTCTCTTCCTTCTCTGCCGTTTAAATCCCTTTTGGATCGCTTCTGCAAACCCAGCAGCAGCAACCGCAACACGTTCCTCCGCTTTGCTCTGCACTGCAGATCAGGAATCCCAAAGAAATTCAAGGTTCCCTTGCAGGATGGCGCTGCCGTGCGCAGGCGCTTGCCAGGGAAAAAACCCCCCAAAAGCAAAAAACAAAACAAAAAAATCTCTGGCCGGGGTAATGTAGAAATTGGCTACCCGTCGCATCCACGGCTTTGCTGTTACCGAGCATGCTCCTTTGGAACTGAGCAGGCGCAATAAGCCCAGCTGACGCCTTTGCCCGCACTAGGAAAAGGTTCCAACTCAAGAGCTTGCCCACGCAGATCACAGACGCTGGCAGCGAGCAAAGAAACAAAGCGGTGGACGGGGAGGCAGCTACTTGGGCAGAGTTGTTATGATAATGGAAGCTTCCTCGAAACTGCGAGTGTGGGTGTGATGCTTGATTTTCTATGAATAGCAGAATTAAGCCGGGTTAATGAGAAGGGCCGAGCGAGGAGAAGAATTAGGAGGAGGCATGAAGTAAAGGGGACATTCTAGAGATGCCGCATGAGACATCCGAGGAGCCCACATCACTGGGGTCGAATATAGGGGGACAAGCGCGCAGTGCCATTTCCCCATAGAGTGGAAGGCGGCTGGAAAGGGACTGCTGCTCGTGGAATATTCTTGCATGAAACGGTTTTTGCAGGGCTTAGTAGTGATGAACAACCTGCAAGACACGTTTGACCAAAAGGTGGTTTGGCACAAAAGGGATCTGTGCCTACACTATGGAAAGCAAAGGCCAGGTTTCCAATTGCTTGCTCCCAACCTGCTTTTCAGCATAGCTAAATTTAGATCTGTCCCTTAACACTACCACTATCTGAAATTATGAGATTAATTGTAAAGATATTAACTGTGTTGGGAGGGGAAGAGTAGAGTCAAAAGTACAGGAGACATTTTGGGGAAAGAGTCTTACCTCCCCACCCCCAGTATGTTGTGTGTGTATATCAGAGCATTTCCATAACGCTTCATTTTTAGAAACACGAAACATGCAGCTCCCAAGAAAAAATCAGATAAGATTCCATAAAGCCATTCAATAAAGCAATAAAATGATAAAATAACTCCATAAAATGACCAGGGATAGTTGGCAATGCTAACAATCAGGGAAACACCCAAGTAAAGAATGTGTCGCGTTCTGTCCCTTGCGTAAGCCACCCTTGCCAAATACGTCTGACACAGTAACACGGCACCCACCTGCTGTGGTTGGAACATGCAAAAAGGCAGCTGGCACATACCACAACCATTGATGGTAATACACCATGGTGGATTGTGGTGATCATGCAAACCTAGTCGTTATCTTGGGCTTGTCTCTATTTAATTATTTAATCATTTATTGGTGTTTGCCCTTTTACCTTTCCTTTCTGTGATAAGCATGTGCAAAGAGACAGTTCAAGGTACAGCACTATACATAATAACACAAAATACAATCATGATCATAAAAATGAAGAAAATCATAGCAATAATTTTATAAAACACAAGTGTACAGTTAAAAACATAGTAGTCCTTCAATAAAAAATACCTGCTTGTCTTAAGACCTGTTTTCAAAGCATGTAAACAAAGCTCCTATATAGTCTGTATCACTCGAGGGAAAAACACCTCCCTCTCATTGCCACCAATCTTATTTCTATCCACAAAAGGAGGACTACAGAAACAACACAGATCTTGGTAAGGTTCATGTACGTAGGAGGAGGTGATTAATGAGCTTCCCATGGGAACAAGGCCAGCTCAAATGCATCTTGCCAAATGCATTTCAGGATGTTCCCTTTCTTGTTGAGGACATTCCTCCTCCCCACTTTCAAATTAAAAAAAAATCAGGCTAACAAGTCAGAAGAATTTGTTGCCTGCTGTATTGGTCCTTGTCTGAATAGAAGCTTGCGGAGTTACCTTTACACTGAAAAGGCACCAACTAAACAAGGAATGCTTATATATAAGTATCATGTCCACATTCAGGGTGTGACAGTGTCCTAGTTTGGACACATGCACAGGCCTGCTGCTCTTTCCAACATGGCTTTCTGATCACAAGCACCCAATTCTGCTTTCAGCTAGATGCAGTTTGTCATTCTGTCTACCATGGTTTATCTCAACAAGGGATCAGACATTACAGTTTGACCATGGCTTATTCAGACCAATAGTTTAAACTGATCTCTGGCTAGTTGAAAATGGAAGTGGTGCATCTGATCTCACAGTTGCACCAGAGGAGGAGAGAAGAGAAGCATAAGGTTCATTTGCTATGGTGCACGGTTACATCTGATCACAGCAAATACATCAAAAGGAAGATAGGTGACACATTGATATGTACTTATGATATATACTCTTAATTACCAGATCATAAGTTTACTTCTTTGTTTTTTTTTCTTTTTTTTTCCTGTTTTGAACTCATTGTTAATCATCTCTTTTCAATACGGTAAGCAATATATGAATCTATTACATAAGATAGTCTTCCATTGCCTTACTATTTAAAAACAAGGGATAGAATTTTATGTTTGCAGGTTAAAAAAAAAGATTACTCTGTCTTGAGTACTGAGAAAATGAAGTATTTTCACAAATGCAGCAAATGAGTATGTCCAAATCATTTGCAATAAATGTCCTGCAAGTAATTGCAGAGAAAATTTTCAAGAGTTAAATAGAGGAAAGAGTTCCACCATGTGCATATATCAAAGCTCTGGCTTCACAGTCTTTTTAAAAACCTTTATCATAAATAGAAGGCAAAAGTAGCAGTCGTGGTATTGTTTAACGATCGTTAAGAAACACATTATTGACCTGGTTTGCATGTAGTACTAGCCCATGGTTTAAATCAATAAACCATGAGTTTAAAGAACTCTTGCTTTATGGGTTGTTGAATTCTAAATCGTTATTCTGAGTGAATCCGGGCATGCTGGCAAGCCATGGCTTGTTAATCACAGACAACACAGACAATCACAGACAATCACAGACAACACAGAAAGCAAACCCATGGTTTGTTGCTGGGCTGTGAACACGGGGTTATTTAAATCATGGGCTGTCATCTGTAAATGCAGGAAAGTAGGTTGTTCATAGATAGTTTTACAAGCCTAAAGAGGTGCAGAGAACAGTATTAAAACAAACACACACAACTACATGCCAGAACTCTATTGCTGCAGAAGCATTTCAGATTCAGGAAGAGAGTGGGCGAAGGTGAATGGATGGAAACAAAGAACTCAGGGAGTGAGGAAGCAAACCACAGTTTGATTGTCTTCAGACAGATTCTGGATAAAACAACAACCATGGGATAAATAAAACATCAGTTAACTTTATGTGTAAGCCAGATCATTAGCTCTCTACCCTGTTACATCAGGCAAATGGCAAACTAAGCCCTCATAAACATTTACTCTTCCAGTTAGTGTAAACATTCCTAGGCTTATTTTAAGCTCAAGGTGATTGCCTATCATATGACTTCAAGGGTAATGGGTGTCCTCCAATGATGCCCATTTTTCCCACTTTCCTTTGATCATTCTAACAGCTTCATCTTCTTTTACATTGCTGCTTATCTCAGAATTGATTTGCTATTATCCATTAAGTTGACTTTTATGAAATCTGTCCCCCTCTAAGAGTTTCACAAAACTGTTTCAACCAGAATTTAAAATACATTGGGCAAGCCATACCATATTATTTATGTAGGCTTCAATACATTTGAAATCAATATCAAATGTATAGTTAAGTCCCACTGTTTCCCATTTGAATGGTTTCAGTATGAATGGGCTATTTTCCATTCACTTTATAAAGCATCCATTCACTTTACAACCAAATACTGCATGTAAAGCTTTTGTATAGTTATTATTTGTCCTTGAATGATCTAGACCGACAAACAGAAAACAGAAGTTAACAAATGCCTGATTTTCTTCCCTTCAAATCTTGTCTTTGTTGTATTTAATTATAATTTTATGTAGAGAAGACCCATTGAAATTAGAGACCTAAATTAGACCAATATCGCAACCATTAAGGAGTTATCCTAAATCGGTACTGTTGTGCATATGTACCTGGGGGAGAGCACTACTGCGTTCTGGTACTAGCTGCTGAAAAGACATGCACTGGGTTGTTCTTTGGAGTATTTCCAACTGTGTATAATAAGTTACTCGGAAGCAGATATTGAAAACTAGGCTAACTTATCTATCTTACTTTTGGTGAAAATGTGCTTTGCAATTCTTTCCTCAATTAGTTATCCTTATAACGACATTGCAAGAAACGCTGTATGAGAATGTGGTTCCAATTCAGGGGAAGTTAGCCATCTTTATCCCATTAAAAACACTGGGGCAAATGTGCTTTGGCTAATTGTTTTCAACAGGACTGTGTATCCTTTGAATGTTCACTCAGAAGTAAAGTCCACTGAGTTCAATAGGGCTTACTCTCAAGTAAATGTGTATAGCATTTCAGCATAACTTTCTCTAAAGTTAGTCCAGAGATTGACTCCAGGCTGTTGTTTATAACATTATAATTTGCATTAGTTATTAAATAACTAATGCTTTATGGCAAGATACATTGCTGCAACAATATCTGGAATTCCCTTCTTTTTGATATGAACCTTGCTTCTTCTGTGCAACCATGTGAGCAAGAGGTAAAATCCTTTCTGTTCAAAGTTGTCTTCAGCTGAATTTGCAATTGGTCTGTACATTTGAAATTGCTTTACAAGGTCTTCTGCATGGGTGCTTCTGTGGCTGTTGTGTCTTGTGTCTGACTGTGCTCTTCTCTGGCAGCTGCTTTTGGAGGGCAATTCAATTTAACAGATAGAGGATTGTGTTCATTCTTGTACCCGAAGTCCCAATTGAGGTGAATGCAATGTTAAGGTAACATTAGAAGTGACCCCCCAAAAGTGCAATAATAATAAAGATAGCTTCGCCAAGCC